CAGCCCCGAGAGCCCAGAACCCTCTTTCTGAGGGTGTTCAGCAGCAGGAGAAATTGACGAGCAGAGGTGCTGGGACCGGGGTGTCCATATATCTCCGCAGGAAACAAACAGCCCTGGGCGGGTGGTGGAGAATACAGGCCGAGTGGGGGTGCGGTGGGCGCCTTGGGTGAAAGAAGCTAGTGAGTGACAGGCAGGAGATGGATCTCAGGGCCCGGGGACGGGGCCGTAAATCTCCAGGCATGAACCTGGAGCAGATGGTGGCATTGCCGCGGACACTGGATACATTTGTCATCTCCAGCACCCCCGTCCCCCCCACACTGCCCTTCCCTCTTTGTCTCCCGACATGGATTCCGACTTCTTCCCACAGAAGCTCGGGCGTCACCTGGCCCCGGGCAGGTCTTGGGGGGTGGGGGAGCAGGCTGATGGTAGAGCCCACGCAGGGGCTGGTCCCCAGATACACCAAGGACTTTGGTATCATCTGTCCCAGCACCCACTGCACAGATGCGGAGACTGAGGCTGGAGTGGGGCAGGTGCGGTCTGGGGACGCACGGTAAGTGGGCTGGCTGGTGGCGGGGCTGCCGCGTCCCTGCTGTGTGGGTTCAGGTCTGGTTGCCTGAGCAGGACGGGTGGCCTCAGCTGCTGGGGGCACCTGCTCCCTGGCCGTCCCCACCCCCGCCGGGTACCCTGTGTCTGCATGCACCCACGTGGTGAGCAGGAGGGGGTGGCGGGTGTGGACCCGGCTGCTCTATCTGGCCCCACTGCCCATCATTTGCCCTCCCCGCGTGTGTCCAGTTGATTCCTGGCTTTGCTGAGCTCTCCCCGGAGGAGAGGGCGTGGAGAGACCTTGGGGACTCAGCAGCCACGTGGGGGCAGGAACCGTGGCTTCTGGCCCTCTGAGCTGGAGGGTCCTGGTGGTTATTCCCCAGGCGGGTTGAGGGTCCACACGTGTTCTGCTGGAGCCCGAGCGTGTTGAGGCCCTGGCGACTGGGGGGGCTTGTGTCCCGGGTGGGGAGACAGCTGGTACACAGCACACAGGCGCGGGCACCCAGTCCTTCCCCAGGCCTTCCAGGTGATGGGGTCCCCAGGAGAGATGGGGACCCAGCAGCCCCTGTCTTAGACCCTGGGAGTTTGAACCTAAAAGTCTCCTTGTCAGCATCATCTGCTCCACGAGAGGAAAAATTAGTGGGGTCTAAATTATGGCAGGATCTCAGCACGGCAACAGGGGAGTGTCTGCCCAAGTCCCACATCTGTGTGTGTCTCTTAGACACACATGCACGCACGCACACACACTACACACTTCCCAGGTCCCAAGTCTATGTGTGTCTCTAAGACACACACACACACCCCGGGTCCCACATCAGCCCGTCTGGCCCCGCCTTTCAGAAGGGTCCAGCATCGCCCACGGTCACACACAAGCTCGCTGCGAGGCCAAGGCTGGGGTCCTCCTGGGAGCCGGGTCTGGGTCGGCCTCGGGGTTGCAGGAGGAGCTGGAACAGAGGCTGAGGGTGGCGGGGACCCCAGGAGGGCCGGACAGCCTCCCTGGGGCCCCCTTGGGGTCAGCAGGGGCTGTGCCTTGTCTCTCTGCTGTGCCCCGGGGGCTGGGGCGGCGTTGTGGGGAAACTGAGTCACAGGCCGCCTACACTCGGGCTTTTCGTAACAGCTGTCCCCACGCCCAGCGCCAGGACTCCTGGCGGTTCCGTGCCGGGCGACCCTAGCCTCTGCCTCAGCCCCGCTGGGCCCTCCCTTCCAGGCCTGACGGGCAGCCTCAGTCCCTGGGAACCTGTGGCCCCCGGGAGGGAGGTCCACTCCTCCTTGGGGGCTGCTGTGCCCCAGGCCTGGGGGCTCCCGGGGGAAGAGTTCGGTGGGCCCTTCAGCGTTTAGATTCACTGGACGTGAGCTTGGGCAAACTCTGGGAGACAGTGAGAGACGGGCAGGCCTGGCATGCTGCGGTCCAGGGGGTCACGGAGTTGGACGTGACCGAGCCACCAACAGCAGCGTAAGCCTCTGGGTGATCCGGCAGGAGGCTGCCTGAGGGTGGGGCGCTGGGGTGCAGAGGACAGGGGTCGCCTGGCATCCAGCCCCTCCTGGCCGGCAGCCCAGGGCCTCTGACTCAAGCCCTCCATTAACAGATGGGGAGACTGAGGCCCTGATGTTGCAGCGCCGGCAAGCCAAGCCCTCCAGGCTCAGCCCCACCCCGCCCTGGAGAGAGCAGAGGGTCCTTTCAGGCCGCGTTGCCTCGCAGCCGGGCCTCAGCGGCACCCCTGCTGCCTCGGGGCCCACGTTGGCCCCCCCCAGCCCCGCTCCGGCCGTGCTGAGTGCTGACCCCAGCCTGGAGATGTGGACGGTGTGACGGAAGGCCGGGTCTGCCCCCGGGAGTGGCCGGCACACCCCCTCCCCTGCCGCGGGAAGCCTTGGGTCCCGTCGGAGTCCGCTGGAACCCCAGGCTCCCTCGTGTTTGCCGACAGATCCTGGTTTATTTTCGGCAGGACCAGCTCTCCCTCCGCGGCTCACAGACCAGGCGCCTCCCCACACGCTGGGATGGGGCCGGGCCGGGCTGGCCTTGGGGGGCTGAGAGCCCTGTGTGGGCGGGGCTTTCTAGATCCTTCCTGCACACAGTAGGTGACGCAGAGAGATGGCTTGTGAGCGCGCAGTGGGGAGGCGCCCCTGGCCCCTTGCTGTCAGCACAGAGCATGGAGGACTTCCGGGAGGAGCAACGTGCACCCGGCCCTCTGCACGCCCCCGCAGGCTCCCGCGAGGCCCTGGAGTCCTGCTTCTGGAGCCTGCTTCCTGCCCCCTCCCCTGCCACCACCCCCCGTCTCCATGGGGGGTCTTCTTTACCTCTGGTCGCCCTGTGGAAGTTTCCGGAAGGGCCCAGCGGCTGGTCACGGGTGGCGCAGTGTCTGCTCTGGCCACGCAAGCTGGGAACGGGCTGCCTTTCTGCCTTGCTGCTTCCATCTGTCGAGTGGGTTGAGAGCTCGGCCCTCCCCGCGTGCTGGGCTGGGGGCAGGGCCCAGGGGCCGGGTCACGGCCTCGGTCGGGAGGCCTGGGCTGGGGGCTGGATGCCTTCCCCCACTCTGAGCCTGTTTTCTGCTCGGCAAGGGCAGGGCTGAGGTCGACGGCCAGCCTGATGGTGAGTCTGAACGGGTGACCCGAGTTCTGTGGAAGACAGAGCCGCCCCTGGCACTCCTGCGGGCCCTGCTCAGCCCCGAGCCCCGCCTCCCCGGAGGCCCCGCCTGGCTCCATGTCCCCTCTCGCTGTGCTGTGGCAAGGGGGTTCTGGGAGAAGGACTGCGCACGCAGGGGCCTGAGCCGGCGGCAGGCTCTGTGCGCTGGAAGGGCCGGGCCAGAGGTGCAGGGTCGGTGGGGACAGGGCCCCCTGGACCGGCTGAGAGGGCCAGGGCTTCTGGGGAAGTCGTGGGTCTTGTTCTGTTTGCCTTGGGACGCTCTTGGGGACTTTGAGACGGTGAGGGGCGCAGTTGGCTTCCGTATCTAGAGGTCCCTGTGGCTGGAGGGGAGGAGGGGTGTCCTGGGGGCCTGTGTGGGCAGGGGTGGCCGCCCATGTCTGGTGAGATGGGGCCGCCCGTCGGCGCTGACGGCACCAGTGAGGGAGAGCCCGGAGCATGTTTTGACGTTGCTTTAAAATTTGGAGCCGCGGTCCTGTAGAGAACTGTTCTGTAAAGCTACCCCATATTCCCATCTGTGTCCATTACCGAGCGTGGAGTGTGTGTGTGTGTAGAGGATAAGATGGTATAAAGCGAATCCTGCTCTCCTCCGACACCCAGCACCAGCTCAGCGCTGTCTCTCTAAGGGGAGCCGGGCCCGCGCCCCCCCGCCGGAGGATGCAGGGTGGCGTGAGAGCTGGTGACTGGCGCCCACCGTGGTGCTCAGTGGGAGTGCGCAGACCGTTGCTCAGCCGGCGGCAGGTGCTTCCTTTCGAGACACACGTCTCAAGTCTGGGTGTGCGTGTGCTCACACGCGTGTGCTGGTGCATGCCTCCCGGGAGCCGGAGCAGACACTAGGTACGGCCCCGTGACCGACGCTGCCTGACGGAGGGTGTGTTCCCGTCTCGGGTTCCCATCTGTGGGTTGAGTTTCTGTAGGACCAGTTTCGCTTCTATCTGCTTTCGTGGGGCCTCCAGCAGAGTGGACTGCGGTTGCAGAGGGCAGGGCCGTGCAGAGCCCCCAGGGGCCCCTGGTGGCGCCCTCGGGGGCGGGGAGCTGGCCGGCGCCGGGTCCTGGGGGACAGGCCAGGGCAGGGAGGAGGCTACGGCCTCCAAGGCGTCTGCCGTCTGATGGACATCGGGCTTATTTTGGCCTCGCCATCGGGGAGTCCCCACAGAGCAGGAGCATGCCAGGTCTGGAGGACGGGAGTCTCAGGAGATGGCTTTTTAGAAAAACCGCTCCGCAGAAAGCCAGGGGTGCCACCGGCCTCGTTCACACACGTCAGGGCTGAGATGTCCCAGCCGGGCAGCTGCCTCGAGAGCTCTGAGGGTGCATGGCCATGATCCCCACGCCCTGACAGGCACACGCATGTGCACACACACATGTGTGATCACAGGGTTCCATGCACATGCAGCCCCCTCTGGAGGCACAGGAGCTGCCTCTGACACGCCCTTGCACACGCAGAGCACACATCACACATGGCAGGCTCTCCTCTGTCGGTGAGCATCCAGACACCGGGCCCAGGTGTCCCCGCCCCTCCACGCTGTCCTCTGCCCTGCACACCCGCGTGTCCACTCACGCCCTGAGCCTGCGTGCCCCAGCCGGCACCCGTGTCCCACGTGTTCCCTGCACACGGAGGCACAGGGCGGCCGTGATGCTGTTTCTCTCTGGGGTCTGGGGTTGGGAGGCGTGCTCCTGGGGGCCGTGTGAGTGGCTGGACACCCTTCCCATAGCCCAGCCCCGCGTCCCCCCAGTTGGCCCGGGGGGCCTGCTCCATCGTGAGCTCACCCTCGCTGTGCCAGCCCTGCACAGAGCCGGGTGGGGCCCGGGGGCCCAGGTAATGCTCTGCCCGTCCCCGGGGGGTCCTTGGGAAGCCAAGCGCCTGGGGGAGCGGGTAAGGTGGGTGGTGGTGGCCGTCAGGGAGGGCACGTCTGCAGGCCATGCAGGGCTGTCTTGTTGGTGTAGGTGGTGGAAGGCCGCTGCCCTGGCCTGGACTGGGCCCACACGCCGCTGTGGGACGCCTGGGTTGTCTGCTGCTGCCCTCGGCGGAAGGTGACGGACCGCGGGGATGCCTGGCTCTTCAATGACACCCATGCCTCCCGGAGCCTCACGGCCAGAGGGCGGTGGGAGCCAAAGTCAGGTCCGTTTGGCCAGAACCCCTTCCGTTTCCCTCTGCCCTCTGCCCCTTGGGGGGAGATGTCTGGAAATTCTAAACTCCAGTAGAAAAGCCCAATCTCTGGGGGCTGGGCGACGGGGCTGTGGGTCCTGGGCAGGAAGGGTGAAGCCAGGTGACGCTCCACAGCCAGAACTCTAGGGCCGTTCCAGCACCCTCTTCCGAAAGGGGAAGCAGGGGCTGGTGGGGCAGGGCCTGGCCCCTGGGCGCGTGGCCTGCTTGCGGCTCCCGGCGCTCACAGGGAAGGTGCCCGAGCCTTGTGGAGCTCAGCCCTTCCGCAGACTGGCCTCCTGGCTCCTGTCTCACCTGCCGCCATCCTGGCCCCGGAGACTCCTTGAAGCGCAAAGCTCAGCGCGCACCTGGGCGTGGTGGTCCAGACCCTGCCGGCCTGCGCCCGCTGTGGGCGGCCAGCACACCGGGGAGCCTCTTGCGCATGAGAGGGACATATCACAGGCTCCAGAACCCAGACCCGCCTGTCTCTGACACCCCTTGCCCCACCCCGCCCCAGCAGCCCCTCTGCCCATTTTATGCTGGGAGAGCTGAGTCTCAGGGCAGGAGGTGGAGCTGGGAGCTGGGCCCTCAACTGCAGGGGGCAGGGGCTGCCCCCAGCAGGCGCCGAGGCGGGAGCCCCCTGGCCGGCTGCAGGCGAGTGGCCCGCAGGTTCCAGGCTGCCCGGACTCGCCCCGTCCTGTCCCACTCGGGGTTCTGTGTGTGCGGGGCGCTCCTGTTTGAGTGAAATCTTGGACGGGCACAGAGGCTGACGGCCTTGGGGGCCGCTTGGTTATCCTGCCGGGGCCTCTGGCCTTTAGAATAAAGCTGGTCTCCTGTGAGGCTGGCGTCCCGTGGAGGCTGCGGTGTGTGTCCGATCTCGCCAGCCTGCCTGTTTGTTCCCGCTGCCCGCTTTCTGGAGGCTCCTGACAGTGTGACCACACTTCTGTGCCCTTGGGACAGGACTGCGCAGTGGCGTCCGCATGTGGACAGAGGTGCTCGGCCTCCGCCGCGGGTGAGTCTCGGACCCTCCCTGTCCAGTCGTGGGTGGTCTCCACTCCCCCAGGCTCAGATCGCCACCTGTCTCTGTAGGCTTCTTGTCAGGCTCCCGCAGGAGGGTGGCAGCCCCTTACATTCCTGTAACACCTGGCAATGTTGGTCTTTTTTATTACAGATGCGCCGGGCAGGGGTCGGGGGCTGTGGTTTGAATTAGCATTTTCCTAATGACCAGTGAAGTTGGAGATTTCCTCATGTGTTTGTTGGCACTCACATTTTGTTTCTGATAAGATGTCTAGATCTTTTGCGCATTTTAATATGTTTATTTGCCTTACTGAGTTTCAGCATTATTCAAAATTGTTGTGAGAGTTCTTTATACGTTCTGAATACGAGTCCTTTATCTGAAGTATGATTTGCAAATATCTTATCCTGCCTGGTCTGTATCTTGTCTTTAATATTTTTCATGGTGTCTTTTGGAGCACGGAAGTTTTTATGTGTGATGAAGTTTGCTTTATCAGTTTTTCTCTTTTATGAATCCTGTTATTAGTGTTACATGTGAGAATTCTGTGCCTCATCCAAGGTCACAGATGTTTCTTCTGTGTTTTCTCCTAGGAGTTTACATTCTAATTTTAGCTCTTGGATTTAGGTTTATTGACCATTTTGAGTTAATGTTTGTGAATGCTGTATATGGCTCTTCATTCATTTTTTTGGGTACATGGGAATCTAATTGCCCCAGCATCATTTTTAAAATGAACATGTTTTTAACTGAAGGATGACCGCCTTATGGGATCGAGCTGGCTTCTGCCAGACCTCAGCGTGACGCGGCCGTAGGTGCGCGCGTGTTCCGGTGCCGAGCCTCCGTCCCACCGCCAGCTCTGAGGGCCCTGCCTTGAGCTCCGGCCGGCTGCCCGCTGGCCTCTGCGCCTCCGCCCTCCCGCTCCTCCCCGCCGCGCCCCGGCCTCTGCCCTCCTGCGCGTCCGTGGCCGCCTCGGCGCCCTCGCCCGGGTCCTGCGCGTCCGTGGCCGCCTCGGCGCCCTCGCCCGGGTCCTGCGCGTCCGTGGCCGCCTCGGCGCCCTCGCCCGGGTCCTGCGCGTCCGTGGCCGCCTCGGCGCCCTCGCCCGGGCCCAGAGCCGAGTGCTCCTGGGGCCGTGGGCGGGAGGGTCTGCTTCTGGACCCTCAGTTCCCCGCAGGGTGCGTGTCTGGCCGTCCGCCGGCGCCGCACGCGCTCGGCCGCTGTGGGTCTGTGGCCCGTTTGGAAAGTGGGCGGTGCACGTCCTCTAAACTTGTTTCTTCTCAAACTATTTCTGCTATTCTCACCCCTTCACATTTCTGTGCAGCTTTTAAGGCCGCCTTGTCAGTGAGAGAGGTGCTTGGTGGGGTCTTGATGGGCTGCCCGGCGCACAGATGCACCGGGAAATGCCGTCTTCCTCCACGGGCGTGGACCGCGTCTCCCTGAACCAGGCCTTCGTTTGCTCTGAGCGGTTTTTTTGGGGTCATCTTCAGTGTGCAAGTCTTGCAGATTAAATTTCTGTTGTTAAATTTATTCCTAAGTGCTTTTGATGCTATTGTGAATGGAATTATTTTCTTAATTTCATTTTCAGATTGTTTGTTGCTAGTACGTAGGAGTAAAGCTGAGTTTTGTATGTTGATATTTTATCCTGTGACCTTGCTGAATTTAATTATTGGCTAGTTCCACTAGACTTTTGTGGATTCCTTAGGATTTTCTGCATGTCCTCTGCAAATAAGGGGAGTCTTACATCTTCCTTTTCAAACAGGCTATCTTTCATTAGGATTATTTTTCTTGCCTTATTGCGCTGACCAGAACCTCCAGAGTTAATACTGAAGGGCACTGGTGCGTCATGCCTGATCTCAGGGGAAAGCATTCAGCCTCTCACCGTGAAGTATGTTAGCTGTGACTTTCCTGGATGGTCTTTATCAGGTTGAGAAGTTCTCTTGTAGCCCTGGTGTTTGAGTGTTTCTATGGTGAATGTGTGTTGGATTTGGTTATATGCATCTACTAAAATGGTCATTTGGCTTTGTCCTTTTACTAGTATGACTCTAGTTGATTTTCAGAGGTTAAACCAGCTTATCATTGCCGGGGTAAATGCCACCTTTACAATCCTTTTTCTTTATTGCTGGGTTTGGTTTGCTACTGTTTTATGAAGAATTTTCGCACCAGTGTTCATGTGATGTGTGGGTCTGTTATTTCCTTATGATGTCTTTGTCTGGTTTTGGTAGCAGGGAAAATACTGGTCTTGTAGAATGAGTGAGGAAGTTTTTCTTTCTCTTTTTTTCCTGAGTTTGTCTAGATTCAGTATGATTTTTAAAAAATATTTGACAGAATTTTCAATTTAAGCCACCTGGGCTTGGACTTTTCTTTGTGGGAGTGTTTTAAATTAGTCATTCATTTTTGGATAAATGATTGTAAGTTGATTCAGGCTTCCCATTTTTGAATCAGTTTTGTTAATTTGTGTCTTCCTGTGAATTTGCCCACTCATCTTCTAAGTTGTGTAGTTTGTTGGTGTAAAGTTGTTCACAATATTACTTTTATTACTTTTACATTCCCCTTGATATCTGTAGGGTTGGTAGTGATGTTTTCTTTTTAATAATAACTGATTTTGGTAATTTCTGTTTTTTTTTTTTCTTGGTCAGTCTGGCTAAAGGTTTTGTCAATTTTGTTAATCTTTTCAAATAGATGATTTTTGGTTTTGTTGATTTATTTTTCTATTTTTTCATCAGCCTTAGTTCTGATTTATTATTTCCTTTATTCTACTTGCTTTGGCTTTTTCTAGTTTCTTAAGGTAGATGCTTCAGTTGTTGAGATTTTTCTTCTTTTCTGATGCACATTGAAAGCTATAAATTTCCATCTAAACCCGGCTTTGCCTGCATCTCATAGACTTTGATATGTTCTGTTTTCATTTAATTAAAGATGTTATCTAATGTCCTTTGTGATTTCTTTGACTCATGGCTATTTTTAAAATTGTTGTTTACTTTCCAGATATTTGAGGATTTCTCAGATTTATTTCTTTTGTTGATTTTTAATTCTATTCCATTGTGGTTGGTGAACATACTTTCTATGGTTACATTCATTTTAAATTTACGGAAGTTTGTCTTTTGGCCTAAAATATTGTCCATCCTGAAGAGTGTACCTCATGTGTTTGAAAAGAACGTGCATTCTGCAGGGTAGGATGTTCTGCAAATGTCAGTTAGGTCAGGTTGGTGATGGTGTCATTCAGATTGTATCTTTGCTGATTTCTTCTGTCTAGTTTTCTCAGTTATTGAAAGTGGAATATTAGAATCTTCAACTGTTACTGGTGTTATTATCTGTTGGGTATTATCTGCTATTGGGATTATTATCTGTTTCTCTTTTCAACTTTGATAATTTTTGCTTACTGTATTTTGGAGCTCTTATGGGCATATTTGTTTATATTTGTCATCTCTTTCTGAGGTATCAACCTGAATATGATTATGAAATGTGTCTCTTTGCCTTTAATATGTTTCTTGAAGTCTCTCTTGCCTGATGTTAACTTACCTATTCTGGCTTTTATGTGGTTCCTGTTTTCATGTATTTTTCTGTCCTTTTACTTTCATCACAGTTGTATATTTGAACCTAAAGTGTAAAATTTTGGGGCAACATATATTTGGATCTTGCTCTTTTAATCCAGTCTGACAACTTCTGCCTTTTAATTGAGCCATTTAGTCTGCTCACATGGAATGCAGTTTTTGATTTGACATGGTTGCCTTTTTCTGCATTATTTTCTGCACGTCTTGTCTTTCTCCTGGTCTGTTTCTCTTTTGATGTCAGGTACATGCTTGCAGTGTGCTGTTCTAGTTCCTTTTTAGTTTTTTAAACTTTATTTCTTTGCATTGTGTTCTTAGTAGTTGCTCGGGGGATTACAATATGCATCTTAACACAAATGATTTCAGATTAACACCGATTTTTGTCGTTGTTCAGTCATCTCCCACATCTTGCTCAAACTCAGGTCCATTGAGTCGGTGATGCCATCCAACCATCTCATCCTCTGTCATCCCCGTCTCCTCCTGCCCTCAATCTTTCCCAGCATCAGGGTCTTTTCCAGTGAGTCAGTTCTTTGCATCAAGTGGCCGAAGTATTGAAGTTTCAGCTTTGGCATCAGTCCTTCCAATGGATGTGCAGGACTGATTTCCTTTAGGATGGACTGATTTGATCTCCTTGCAGTCCAAGGGACTCTCAAGAGTCTTCTCCAACACCACAGTTCAAGAGCATCAATTCTTGGGTGCTCAGCCTTTTTTATGGTCCAACTCTCACATCCATACATGACTACTGGAAAAGACCATAGTTTTGACTAGACAGACCTTTGTTGGCAAAGTGATGCCTCTGCTTTTTAATACACGGTCTAGATTTGTCATAGCTGTTAATACAGACTTAACTGTGGTAAAGTGCGGAAGCTTTACTCCAGTATAGCTCCATTTCCCCTCCCTCTTTTGTGCTAAATTGTCCTATAAAGTACATCAGTATATGCTAGTCTAACAGCAGTGTAGTGTTGTAATTGCTACTGTATGTACTCTTGCATTTTTAAGAGAAGTTAAGGGAATGGAAGAGAAGACAGTGCATTTATAGAGTCTTTTATATTCGTCTGGCACTCCTCATCTCTCTCTGTGGATTTGAATTACCCTGGACGTGACTGCCTTTCAGCCCAAAGTTCTTCCTTTAGGAAATTTCTTCTGAAGCAGGGGCTACTGGCACCGAATTCTCTCGGTCTTTGTCTGTGCGTGTCTTTAGTTTGCCTTCATTTCTGAAGGGCAGTTTCATGGGGTATGGAATTCTCGGTCGACATTTCTTTCAGCAAGCTGAGCACGCCTTTCCAGTGCCTTCTCCCCTCCATAGTCTTGGATGGGAAGTCGGCCGTTGACCGTGTTGGCTGTGACGGATCGCTTTTCTCTATCATCTCTGTCTCTCGGCACTTTGATTATGATGTATGTAGGTGTGGGTTTTTTGTTTTCATCCTTCTTGGGGTTTGTTGATGTTGCATCTGTTAGATTAATGTTTTTCATCAAATTTGGGGAGTGTTTAGCTGTTATTTCTTGAAATATTTTCTTACCTCTTTCTCTTCTCTTCTCCTAGGACTTCTGTCACATATATGTTGGTACCAAGCCCTTGATGTTGTCTCCCACAGATGTCTTAGGCTCACTTTATTTTCCTTATCTATTTCCTAAAAAAAGATTTATTTGGATGCACCGATAAATGTTTATTTATTTATTTAAACATGAGATCTTAGTTGCAACATGCGAGATCTTTATTGCGGCATGCGGGAACTTTAGTTGCGGCACATGGGATCTTGTTCCCTGACCAAGGATCAAACCCGGGTCTCCTGCGTTGAGAGTGCAGAGTCTTAGCCCCTGGGCCACCAGGGAAGTCCTCCTTCTCTACTTTTTCTCTCTGTTCTTTAGATTGTATACTTTATTTTGATCTATCTTCAGGTTCACTGATTCTTTCTTCTGCCATCTCAGATTGACTGTTGAGCCCTTCATGAGTTTTCCACTTCAGTTATTTACACTTTTGAATTCCAAAATTCTGCTGAATAATTCCTCTCTTCATTTAGGTTCTCTGTTTTTTGAGTCCATGTCATAATATTTTCCTTTCATCTTTAAACATGATTGTCTTTTGCCCTTTTTAAAAACAGATTTATGATTGCTGCTTTGAAGTCTTTGCTGTACACCACAACATCTTGTGACACTGTGACAGTTTTTATTGACTGCTTTTTATTTGAGTATGAGTTACCTTTTCCTGATCCTTGGCATATCTTGTAATTTTGTGTTGAAAAATGGGCATTTTGGCCAACATCCTGTAGCACCTCTGGATTCTGATTCCCAGCCCCCCACCCCCATTTGCTAGGTTTTTTGTTTGTTTATTGGGTAATTTGCCTGGACTAAAACTTTGAAATCCATGTCCACTGAAGTGTAATGATTGATGTCTTTGCTTAGTCTGTCTTAAAAAACAAACAAACTCCTGGTTTTCTTCTAAATTTTGGCTTCCTAGGGATCATCTTGGTGTCTGCTTAGCTTAGTGGTCAGTCAGTGATCGGTCAGAGGTTGTGTCAGGCTTTTGCTGTCTGCTGATGGGTCTGCACGTGGGTTTAGGGGCACCTTCAAGGACGAGGCGGCTTCGAGTCTGTTCTGCCTTTTACTCTCTGCCAGGCTCTCTTGCGTCCCCTCTGCGTGTGTCCACAGGCTCTTGGTGGGCCAGGGACGTGTGAGTTTCTCGGGCTCTGTCTGCTGTCCCCCAGGCGTGCTGCCCATCAGTCGGGTTTATGTGGAGAGCTTATCGAGCACGTCTACAGCGGTCACATTTCGTGTCTTCCTCGGCCAGATTTCCAGCTAGTCCCCTGGTCTGTGGCCGCCCCAGCCAGGATCGCAGCCTCAGCCCGGCGGCACAGCTGGCTTTCCTCACTCACTCGCCACTGAGATTGCTGCTCACTATTGACATCACTGCTGCTGAGCCCGAGTCTTGTGCCTTCTGCTCTAAATCAAATCAGCCTCTGGCAGTGAAGCTTCTGGTTTCCGTGGCCTGCACACTGCTGTCCTGTTCGGGCGATGTCCCAGCCGAGCCTGGAGTGGGGAGATGGAAGCAGTTCCAGGTAAGAATATCACAGATTTTCCCTGACTTAGTCAACGTTTTAATCGTGTTTCCTGGATAAATGCCTTTTGGTCAAGTTCGAGGATACTGAAATGGTTATTTTTGATCATTTTTTACTATTTTTACAGTTTGGGGGAAAGGATTTGGCAACCCTCTTCCTCCAGTGTGCTGGAAGACCCATCTTGTGGTGCCACTTTCTAAAAACGCAACTTTAAAAAACAGGCAGCTCTGTGAATTACTGCAAAGTGAAATTCATTTCAGAACCAACTAGTTCAAGAAATAAGATATGACTTGCATCCCAGGATGTCTTCGTGTTCTCACGTGATTGTTACCCTCTCTTTTCTCCTTAAAGGGAAACACTTTTCTGATTTTTAATCCTATAGTTTTTCCTGTTTTCATGCTTTATATGAGTGTGTGTGTGTGTGAATGTGTGAGAGTCACTCAGTCGTGTCTGACTCTGCGACCCCATGGACTGTATCTCGCCAGGCTCCTCTGTCCATGGGGTTCTCCAGGCAAGAACGCTGGAGTGGGTTGCCATGCTCTCCTCCAGGGGACCTTCCCAACCCAGGGATTGAAGTCAGGTCTTCTGCATTACAGGCGGATTCTTCACCATCTGAGCCATGAACTACACAATATGTATTCTTCCGAGGCCAGCTTTTTGTGCTCAGCACATTTTTGTGAGGCCCATAATGTTGGTGTTGTACATGCTGCCTATGTTGCCTAACAGTTTTCAGAAGTGCTTGTCGGAGCTCATGCTCTCCTGAGGCCTCCCCACCTGTCAGCCCCAGTTCAGTACTGGTTGTTCTGCATCCTTGTCAACATTGGACACTGTCCTTTTCATTTTACCCCTACTAAAAAGTGAGCACCTTTTCCTATGTTTATTGACCAAGTATTGTTCAAAACTTTTGCCCATTTCTTTCTGTTGAGATTCCTGGCTTCATCTTATACACCTGTAGGAATTCTTTATACTCTTTTCCAATCTTGATTATATAGGTTTTAAGTATCTTCCCCCACCCTGTGTTTGACATTTCCCTCTTCCATTCGTGTCTTTTAATGAGAAGTTCTTCATTTTGATGTAGTCCACGTTTTCCTTCAAGTTGGTACTTTTTGTTAGCTTAAAGCAAAATCTTTTCTCACTTCAAGTTTCTGTAGAGGTTCCTCTAGATGGTTTATTGTTTTGCATTTGACCTTGAGACTTTCAGTCCATCTGGAATTAATTTTTATTCTATGGTGTGAGGTATGGATTCAGTTTCATTTCTTTTCATATAAATCCAGTTGATCTTACACCTTTTATTAAAAACACCACCCATTTTCAATGCATTATTTCATCCATTTTAACATTTTTATTTTGCGATCTGTTGTAGATCCCATGTATTCATGATAAATAATTCAGAGAGATCCCCGGTACCTTTTATCCATTTCTCCCCAGGAGTAACATCTTGCAAAACTATATGGCAACTGGGATGTTGACAGTGATACGGTCCAGATACAGAACATTTCCATCAATTGAGAAATCCTTATCGCTTTTTTATAGCCACATAGCCACATTCAGCTCCCTCCCCCAAACCTCATCTGTGACCCCTGGAAAACACTAATCTGTTCTCCATTTCTATGATTTTTGTCTTTTCAAGTATACTGTATGCATGGAATCATATGGTATGTAACTTTTGGGGCTTGGATTTGTTTTCACTGAGCAAAATTTCCTGGAGGTTCATCCAAGTTTTGTTTTTCAAAAGCCCGTTGTTTTTTGTAGCTGGGTAATGACATTGTTTCTTAGCCTGGTCTCTACAGGGCACCCTGTGTGTGTTCATCATGCACGCGAACGTGCTTGCCAGTGTGTGAGCACAGTTTCAAGGCTGTCCAGGGCCTTGGTCTCTGTTCCATTGATATGATGTGTCTGGGGTCTGACGGTACAAATGGGCAAGTACGGGAATCGTAGGAACAAGGGACGCATGGGAAGAAGACCAGTTCCCAGCGTGGACCCCACAGGTGTGGGCTGCTAAGGGGTCACGCGTGTGTTTCTGGGTGTTTGGTATAATGTGGGGCTTTCAGATGGTCCTGCTTGCCTGGGGTCTGCTGAGGGCTCCTCTGGGTAGGTTTAGTCCACCTCAGCTGGAACCCTTGGGAAGCTGTGGAATCGGTGGCGAGGGCAGACATGTCTTGTCGCTTTATTTTCCCTCATCTTGGCGCACCCTCCCACCACGTTGTCCGTTTATAGCCGCGTCTCTCGGTGTGGCCCAGTGTGAAGCCTCCGCAGTCGTGTGTCTGTTGCGGTTGGGGGTCTGAGCTTCTTGACCAAGTTCACATGGTCCCTGAAGCAGGGCCAGTGCTGGGGGCTTCTCGGGTCCCTTGGCTTTTGGTTGTTTTCAAGAGCCCTCGAGTGGAGATGGGAGCCCTTCCCCAAGCTGACAGGGAGCAGAGCCAATGCCAGTGACAGAATGGGGACTCCTGCAGCTGTTTGAGTAGCTAGCATCCTGGAGAGGACACTGGGTCAGGATTCAGGGACTGGGCTCTAGCCCTGGCCCAGGACTGTCTGACTTACTCTTCATAAATGGATGGGTATATGGCTGGGGTGGTGGGTTTGTAGATAGATATGAATGGATGATGAATAAAATGGATGGAGGATAATTGGAAGGGTGGATGGATGATGGATGGACAAACTGGATGGATGATGGGATGGATGGATGGATGAGTGGATGAATGGTGGATGAACAAACTGGATGGATGATGAGATGGATGGATGGATGGATGGATAAATTGGATGGATGATGAGATGGATGGATGATGGATAGATGATGGATGAATAAACTGGATGGATGATGGGATGGATGGATGGATGGGTGGATGAATGGTGGATGAACAAACTGGATGGATGATGAGATGGATGGATGGATGGATGGATGGATAAATTGGATGGATGATGAGATGGATGGATGATGGATAGATGATGGATGAATAAACTGGATGGATGGTGAGATGCATGGTGGATGAGTGGACAGATGTGTGAGGAAGGAAGGATGGATGATTGATGAACAGGTGAATGGATGGCTGAAAGATGAGTGAGTGGAGGATGGATGAGTTGCTGATGGTGAATGGATGATGGGTAGATGCACCTACAAGGACTAAAGACAGTGTCAGTATGGACAGAGGTTTGGAAGACATGGGAGTGCAGACGGCCCCTGGCTCAGAGACAAATGGCCCCAGAGGGCAGGTGGAGATCCTGAAGGCCAGGGAGGTGGCTGGGGTGAGCTCACAGAGGTGGGTACTCACAAGAGCTGAGGCTTGAGCCCCAACCTGCAGAGGCCACTTTCAGGCCTCCTGCCAGCCCATCGCCCTAGAGAGGCAGGGCTAACCGAGGGGTCCGGCCACCTCACACTCAAGCTAGCAGTGGTCCTGGCTGACAGGGGCCAGCTGGACACCTCCTGGATACACCCAGGGTGTTCCGGGGGATCTGGGGTCTCCACCCATGGCTGCCCCTTGAATGGCCCTGCAGGTCCTCGGCCCTTACCCCGAGGTGGGTGAGACCTCGAGGTTGCTGTTGGGGGACTCGCGGCCCCTCCACCAGTCTCCCCTCTGTGAGGTGGGGCAGGGTCAGGGTTCCCCACGTGAGGGCTGTGCTGGGCTGAGGCCCCGCTGCCCAGCCTTGTCCGCGCCACCTCAGCGCCCCTCGGGCTGGCCGCTGGGGTGGTTTTCCATGGACCCCAGGGGGGCAGTGAGAGCTGGGGTGCTGTGGAGTCCCTGTGGGCGCCAGCCTCCCTGAGCAGCTGTCTTGGCCCCACACCCAGGATGTCACTTGGCTGCGTCTGGAGGCTGGGCCAGGGAGCCCGGGAAATGTTTAACTTTGAAAAATGGACCTTCACAGCTCATTAGGCATCCATCGCGTGGCCAGGTGCCTCGGGCGGCTGGGGAGGAGGAGGACGCCACGGTGTGAAATCACCGGGGTATTTAAAGGCCGCTCTGCATCCCTGACCAGCCTCTAGCTGCCCAGCCCAGCAGTGCCTGGCCGGTCAGGCATTCAGGATGACTGTGTGACGGGCAGGGTGGCGTCCAGGCTGTGTGCAGCGACCTGATCCTGGCCAGACCCTCCTGGTGGCTTCTGTCTCCTGGCAGCCACTTCTGACACGGGGTCTCAGTTTCTCCCCCTGCCTGGTGACCGGTGGGCTAAGCGGAAGGCAGGGTGGCTGGGAGGATGGTTAGGACCCGCCAGGAGGCCTGGGGGACGGTCTGCTGGCACCCATGTCCCCCGACTCCCTCCCGGGTGCTGCAGCCAAACCCCCCCCAGGGCTGCTCGCTGGGGCCGGCGGCTCCGTCTGGCCTGCCTGCGGCTGGGCCATCAGAGGACCCCCGTGGACCCGTCAGAGGCTGCGGGCCAGGCCGGGCTGCTCGCTTTACGGGCAGAGGCCCCCTCCTGCCTGGGGGAGGGGCTTGTCTCTCTCGGGCTGGTCAGGCAGGCCTGAGGCCAGCGGGGGCTGCCAGGAGGGGTCCATGCTGTCAGCAGAGGCTGGGCTGCCGCACGATGCTCTCAGCGTGGAGACCTGCTCTCCTGCACCCCGCTGTCTGCGGGAGATGTGGGGTCATAGATGGGAGGCACCAGGTTGGACTGCAGCTGGGGGGGGTGGCGGGGGAGAGGCAGGGCTGGGATCTCCCTGCACAACCTCCCGGACTGCCCGAGGGCTCTGTGACCTTGGGCGAGCTCCTCCTGTCTCTGGGCCTTGTTTCTAGTCGGAAGTTGAGGGAAGCTTCCCCAATCCCCACCTTGAGAGTTGAATGAAAGGAGACAGTAAAAGAAGGTGCCTGCTTCCCCCCTGACCATGTGCTGGGCTGTGGGGGTCAGGGGTCAAGGTCCAGGGGAGGCCCAGTTGGGCCGCCCATGCCCCTGGATAGGCACATGCCATGCGCAGCCTGTATCTACCCCGAATGCAGGCCCACCTCTAGGTTAGAACACACAGGTGTGTGCGCGCAAGCATGCACACACATGTGGGCATGGCATGGGCACACCTGCAGACCTGTCTGTGTGCCCGGCTTCTGTGGAACCTCGGGGGTGCCCAGGGCCCCACCTGAACACGCTGCCCACACCGGCTTATCCCCATGGCAACCCCAGGCATGGAGCAGGTGTCTGGGAGACCTGGATCGGTGCCGACAGGTGGGTGCATGTGGTGGGGTCCCCAGGGGCGGCGGGAGAGCCAAGAGCATCAGCGCCCCGGGGTGGGGGCTCCCGGAAGATGGGGAAGTGCTCCCCTCTGCCCAGGAAACGCCCCCCAGAGCAGGAGCAGGTGGGGGCTCCTGGAAGATGAGGAAGTGCTCCCCTCTGCCCAGGAAACGCCCCCCAGAGCAGGAGCAGGTGGGAAGCTTCCGGAAGCCCCCATCTGGCTGTGATTCACGCAGGATGTGCTGGGGCCTTCACCGCTGAACAGCGCCCCGCGCCCACAGGTGCCAGACGCAGCGGGGAGTCCTCTGGAAGTGCTGGGCTCCTGGGCTTGCTCCCGCCTTCTGAGAGGGAAACCGAGGCTGAGGACAGCCTCAGCCATGGCCTCCCCGGCAGACGTGGCCCCGCCGCCCTCTATCTGGAAGGAGCGGGGCTCAGACTCGGAACGCCCTCGGCCTGTTGGCCAGGTGGCTCCCCGCGTCCTGTGCCGTGTGGCCGGTCGCCCGAGCGCGGCCTTTGCTGCAAGACCAGGCAGGCCCAGCCCCGCTCCTCCCATCTGCCCGCCCGTGAAGTCATCCGCTCAGCTGGCAGCGTTCCCATGGCAACAGCGGTGACGTCACAAAGGGCCTGGGAGGATGGGGGGGTGAGGACAGAGAAGGGGACTTCTGGCTTCTCAGTCACCCACAGGCATTGCTGCGGGGATGAAAGGGGGCTGGAGTGTCCCCCACCGCCTAGAGAAAGGAAACCCCCTCCCTCAAGGGGTGACCCCCCAACCCGCTGCCCAGGTGTGGAGATTCTAGCAGGAGTGAGGGCAGAGACGCAGGCTCAGAAGGCATCACGGTCGCCGCGTCTGGGCGGCCGTGCTCTGCCAGACTGGCCCTGAGGTCCTCCAGCCACTCACCTTGCCTGGGGCCTGTCTGGGTCCCTGAGACCACAGGCAGCTGACCCTGCATGGTGGGGGTGGGAGCCAGACGAGAGTTTCCGGGTCTCACAGGAACTAGCCCGAGAGGCACTGCAGAAGAAAACAAACGCTTCCTGTGAAAGGGCGGTGGGCACCCTGGAGGCCCTGTGTCCTGACCACCCAGCTGCCCATCAATGCGGGGCGAGGCTGCGGCCCGCTGCCTGGCCGCAGTTGTGGGGGCGTCCTGCCTGCTGGGGCCAGACGCAGCCTCCTGTTCCACCTGGGGCCATTGGGGACCGCTCGCCCACCTTCCTGCCTCTGTGCCTGTCGCTGCTCATGTGGCATCATGAACGACGCAGGGCACGCTGCTACTCAGCTCTGCAGTCCTGCGCTCACTCGGTGCTGGGGGAGGAACTGGCCCCCCGACCTGGAACCTGCTCCACCCCCAGCCCAGCCAGGACCGTGACGCCTGCCTCCCCTCGTGACATCCACTCAATGCTCCTGCTGGCCCGGATGCTGGACACCTTCGTCCCCTCGATGCCTGAGAACCAGCCTTAGTCTTGAGTGATGGGGGCCCACGTCCCCGACTCCCAGTGCCAGCCTGCGCCCTCTGCCTTGCGCCAGCCGTGGGGCCAGGCAGGTGGAGGCAGGAGCCCACCGGAGGCAGAGGAGCGGGCACAGCCCTGCCCCGCCCCCACTCTGAAAGCCTGGCTGGTTGAAGGCGTCCCTGATTCCCATTCACTGGTTCACAGGCTCACTCAGCGAGCCTCGTGGGCCCCCCGGCCCCGCGCCAGGCCTGGGGGTGGGAGGCCAGTCCTTGTCCTTGTCGGTGAGCCCCCGTGGAGTGCACCTGCGTGCTTGGCCTGAGCTGGTGTAGCTGCCAGGAAGCAACACGGGCCCTGCCCACGTGGGGTTGACGTCAGTGGGGGGTGGCGTGCAGACGCAGAAGTGAGAGCGGTGCCAGAGGACACGGCCCAGCGGACGTGGCCTGGGGCGGTCTGCGGGCCCCCTCCATGTGGGCAGGCTGGGGAGGCTTTCTGGAGGAGGCGACGTTGAGCGCTGTTCCAGGCCAGGGTCCAAGTCCCCCGCCATCTGCCTTGAGATCTGGGAGAAGCCCCTACCCTCTCTGGCTGGGGCTTCCCGGCAGGTGTGTGGACGTCCGGGGAGATGGGGTGTCAGAGGGTTTGCTGTGAGCGGGGGCGGGGTGAGAGGACGGGGTGCTGGTGGTCTGGGGAGGAGAGCCCCCGCCCTCTGGCAGAAGAGATGCCGCTCAGGCCCCGGAGGGGGCGGCTGGCAGGGTCTCCTGCCCGTGTTCACTCACAGAGGCGCAGACGAGAGCCTGGGGCCTCGGCCCGTCGAGGATGACTGCCCCTTCAGCCCATCCGCCCCGCTGGGGGTGTCTGGGCGGCGGGGGGCTGGTGCACAGACCAGGAGGCTGTCCCCGGCCTTGGCGAGCCCCCGCTGCCTGTCTCTGCTGGCGCTGAATGTCGGGTCCATGGCCCACGTGGAGGCGGCGCTCTGGCGGGAGTGTTTGGGGTCTGGTTCCTGCCCAACTCCTACTCACTGGCCATGGGGCCCCGAGACTATGGTCTCATCTGTCAGAAGGGCTCCCAGCGGGAGGACAGCTCACCGTGAGCACATTTATTTCCCCTTTGATTTCCAGCCCTTTCAAGAATCTGCCCACCCCCCCCACCATATTCTTCTGGGAATGTGTCTTCTTTCTGCTTTTATCCGTGTTGCCGTCATGAACGGGGAAGGCGTGTGTCACTGTCAGCAGATGGGCCTGAGCCGGTGTTGGCCGGGCTGGAGTGTGCGGGCCTCCCTGGGGGCCCTCAGGGAGGGTGGCACCTGTCCCAGGCTGCCCGGCAGCGGGGATAAAGGGGGATCCTGGCAGGCTGCGCTCAGCCTCGGTGCTCACCTGCCGCCTGGGTCCCGAAGCGGGGCCACCTGCCCGGATCGAGTGAAGAGAGAATGAGGCCTGGAACACAGCACCCATGGGTGCTTGCCGCGCCAGCTCAGAGCTCAGCTGGCCGGGTGGACTGGGGGCTGGGGTCCTGGACTGCCGTGAGGCAGGAGCCAGGGCCACTGGACCGATGATGGAGGGTGTGGGGGTCCTGCTGCTCTTCTGGCCCGTTTCTAAGGAGGGTTTTCTGCAGCCCCCAGGACAGTGACAGGCTCTTCTGGGGATCTCAGTTCTGTCTAGATGTATTTTTTTTTTAACTTTGCACCTACAGTAGAATAGCTTACCACGTTTAGCCAGTGAGAGTCCGAGGGCACCTCAGTCATCATTTCAGGCAGGCAAGCACATTTGAAGCCTCATTCTCATATTTCTAATAAGCACTTATCAAATTTACAGCTCTTGCATACGACTCATCAGGCTCCTGCCTCCCCAGCGTTCCCGCCTCCCCTTTGATGCGGTTGTCTCTCCTGCTTCGCACCCTCAGAGCTGGCTCTGCCTTTGCTCAGCAGATTCGCACGTCAGCTCCTGTCGGCTGAGGAGTGACGGGGCTGTAGCCGCAGAAGGTGGGGTGAGGGTCCCAGGCATGTTAGCATCAGCCCTGAGTTCTCCCAACATCGAGGCATCAGGCCATCCTGGATTGCAAAACGTTAATTAGCACCAGCACTTTTTTTTTTTGGCCTGGCATTTTAATACATGTAATAAGTATTATTTCCCAATTATTTTTTTATTTCCAAAGAGGAGTATTTCTTCTCTAAAGCAAATTAGGAAAATGCTCAAAGGAGAAATGAACTATGGTTCCACCTGGAGAATGGCCTTCTGGGCTTTTCTTCATTTGAGGATGAGGGTTTGTTACAGAGGGTTGGTATCAATCACCCTTAAAAAAAAACCACACAACAAACTGAAACATAACTTACCTACAGAGACGCACACAGACCCCAAGGTACTATTTACTGAATTTTTCATCAAGTGTAACCAGCGCCTCCATCAAGAGGCAGAACCCACCAGCTCCTGGAAGTCACCTCTTGGCCTTTTGGGGTCATGTACTGCCCATGGGGGACCACCGTTTTGGCTTCTAGCGGCATCGTTTTGACGGGCTTTCCTGGTGGCTCAGTGGTAAAGAACCCGCCTGCCGATGCAGGAGAGGTGGATTTGACCCCTGGGTCGGGAAGATCCCCCGGAGTAGGAAGTGGCAACACACTCCAGTATTCTTACCTGGGAAGTCCGTGGATAACAGGATCTGGCAGGCTACAGTCCATGGGGTCACAGAGTCAGACACGACTTGGTGACAACAACAACAAGCATAGTTTTGTCTTCTCACATTGTGTAAATGGAATCACAGATACACACTCTTCATGTCTGGCTGCTTTTGTCACACGTTTCACTCGTGAGAATCATGTTCCTCTGTTGGACGTGATGGTCCCTCCATCTTCATTGCTGTGTAATATTCCCAGGCGTGCAGACGTCCCAGTCTGTCGGTCCCTTCTGGCACTGATGAGCGTTATTTCCAGCATGGGCTGCTCTGAATGGTGTTGCTAAGAACACCCTTGCACATGTGTTTTGCGGGTGTATGTTCATGTTTCTGTCCATCTGGGAGTGAACTGCTGGCTCTGATCATTCACAGATCTTGAGCGGTTTCCAAGCTGCAACATTTTCATCAGCGTTATTAAAATGATGGTGCAGTATTTAGAGAGGGTGTCCTGTAACAGAGTCACAGTCCCTCTCGTCATATCAAACACTTAGGTGATTTCCAATTTTTTTCTCTTCTATATTAAGAGGCAGTGGAAGTCTCTGGCCCAGCTCCTCTCTGGGATTATTTCTTTATGATAGGTTCTTGGGAGGAAGACAGTTGGCCCGAGGGCTGAACTTTTCTCCCCCACTCCCGGGACTTTTTCAAATTGTCAGCTGGGCTTTCCAGGTGGCTCATTGGTAAAGGGCTTCCCTGGAGCTCAGATGGTAAAGAATCTGCCTGCAGTGTGGGAGACCCAGGTTCGATCCCTGGGTTGGGAAGATCCCCTTGAGGAGGTCATGGCACCCCGCTCCAGTGTGCTTGCGTGGAGAATCCCATGGACAGAGTAGCCTGGCGAGCTACAGTGCATGGGGTTGCAGAGCCGGACAGGCCTGAGTGAGTGAGTGTGCACACACACTTGCAGTGATTAGCATGTACAGAAGAGTGCTGAAATCATGTATGAGCGTGGAAAGGGTGATCATCGTGTGGACACTGCACAGCCACAGTCAAGGTTGAGAGACTGCGATGGAACTTCGCCAGCCCCTGGGAGCCCTTCCAAGAGCTTTTCTGTGATACAGCCCTCTTGTCATTCCCACACACAGCAACCAGCGTCCTCAGATGACGCATTCTGGGATGGCCGTGTCTGTACTTTACATAAATGTAACCCCTGCATCCATAGTCTTTTTGACCATGTTCTTTTGGCCAGCGGTACTTGGGGACCATTTGTCTGTTCATCATGGGTGGATTTTCCTCGCTGCAGAGCATCCCTTTCTAGGCCTGGATCAGAGTGGTCCCTGCTTTGGGGCTGTGATGAACCTCTGTGTGTGAGTGCCATAGTCTGAGCTTTCCCCCTGGGGTGGGGTCTCTGCTCTCAGAATGTACAGGCGTGCGTCAGTCTCCTCGGTGTGGTGGTGAAATGGCCCCCAGAGCAGAAGATGTCTTCCTGCCTCACCACGTCCCCAGCACAACACTCCTGAGACTTCTAAGGCTTTTCCATCTCCATGAATAATGAAGTTGAGCATCTTTTATGGTTTGATGTTCTGGACCATTTGGATGTCCTCATTTGGGAAATGCCTTTTCAAGACCTCTCTCCATTTTCTGTATTACTGAGGTGCCTGTATTTTCCCCTTGAATCTGTAGGAGTTGTCCATGGATTCGGGATGGACAGCGTGGAGTAGATTGTTGTCCTTGTTGTTCAGTTGCTCAGTTGTGTGTGACTCTTTGCGACCACGTGGACTGCAGCCCACCAGGCTTCCCTGTCCTTCACTGTCTCCTGGAGTTTGCTCAGATTCATGTCCATTGAGTGGGTGATGCCATCCAACCGTCTCATCATTAGAGTAGATAGAAGGCTGTGTTCGAATATCTGTGGCTTGTGTTTTTATTCTTATTATGTTATTTTTCAAGAGCAAGAATTCTTCACTTTTTAAATTTCTTCTTGTGGTGAAAACTGTTTTAAGATCTGTTCTTACAGCAACTTTCAAGTATGCATTGTGCATGCGTGTGTGCTCAGTTGCAGCTCTCTGCGACCCCGTGGACTGTAGCCCACCAGGCTCCTCTGTCCATGGGGTTTCCCAGGCAAGAGCACTGGAGTGGGTTGCCGTGCCCTCCTCCAGGGGCTCTTCCTGACCCAGGGGTCGAACCCACATCTCCTGCATTGGCAGGTAGATTCTTTACCACTGAGACACCAGGGAAGCCCCAGGAAGTCTTCACTTTTATGGAGTAGAGTATATCATGTTCTTGTGTGGGTCCAAGGGGAGGAGGCCTTCCTTGCTTCCGGGTTGTCATGTATTTTTCTGCTATCTCCTTAGGTACATGGTTCTTTTCTTTTTGAGGTCTGTAATCAGCCTGGAATTGATCTTTCATGCGGTGTGAGGTAGGGGTCTGATTTCATTTTCCTCCCGGGTGTCTGACCTCTTGAGTTACTGGCCTCCTTGATCATCACAGGGGCTGGGTCCCAGCTCAGTGGGGAGCCTTCGGTTTTGATCCGTGGGCTCGTTTTCTGATCTTGTACCGCGAGCAACTGCTTCAGCGCCTATGGTGGTGTAATAAACGATCTGATGATTAATCCCCCCCCCACTCCACCTTGTTCTTATTTAGGACCATTCTAGGCCCTTGGCTCTTCCCTATAAATTTCAGAGTCAGCTCGTCAGGTTCCACAGAAAGAAAAAATTTCCAGGATTTTGATTGTGATTGCATAGAATCTGTGGATCAATTTGCAGTGTTGAATTTTAATAAGCATTCATGTTCTGCTTACTACAGATGTATAGAGATTCACTTGACGTTTGAATATGGATTTTATATCTAGTGCTTTAAGTTCCATCATCCATCACTGCATTTATACATTCTTTGGGATTTTTTTTAATGTAACACCTGTGAATAACTGGAGTTGTTTCTCCCTTTCTGAGTCATATCATTTTAATTTCTTTTTCTGGCCTTATTGCAATGGCTGAGCCCACTAGTGCAGTTTTGAATAGAAGTGGTGGTAGCCAGCATCCATGTGCTGTCCTTGGTCTCAAAGGGAAAGTTTTAGCTTCCCCATTAAGCCTCTTGTCTGCTACAAGCTATGCACACTTTAGAAGCTTTTTATCTGTATTGCCAAATGACTTTCCAAAAAAATTGTGCCAGTTTCACCATAACCTTAGCAGCACTTATCTTTAGTTGCCTTTTTTTTTTTGGTGGTGGTTTTCAGATCACTGTTTATTTGATGAGCCTATATGGTGTCTCAGTGTAATTTTAAATTTTGCATTTCCCTAATTATGCAAGAAGTTGAACACTGTCTCATATATTTGTTAACCAACTGTGTTTTCTCCT